CCCAAAAATAGCGCTGGATTTTACCATTTTTCATTAACATATTCTCAGTTTTTAAAATCCCAGTTTGTGGTATGGCTTCATTCAGAGCATAACTGCATTCATTTTGTAATACTATTAAAAATTTGCATGTGGGTTTCAGCAACAATCATATATAAATTGTGTAATACGGTGAAGCGCGGCATGTGTCTGTAAAGATGCTGTGAAATACCATAGAGAAACAAATGTTGAATCTCAGCAATGAAAGTAGGAGAAACAAACAAACAAAAAATTACCGCAACAATATATCCCAACAAATATATCCATCAACAAACAATACTGAATGATTCCAGTATTCTTGCCTGGTTCCTTCAAAATTTAAAAGAGGAAATGGATTCTGGTGATGTTTGTTCTAGGTTCATAGTTTATCATAAGGAAGGTTGGAACTGCCTCCAGATTAATTTCAGCTGTCAGAAATCATATGGACTGTCCCAGGGCTCTTTTTGTAGAAAAAGCCCAGCAGGAACTCATTAGCATAATAGACCACACCCAACAGCAGGAACTCATTAGCATATTAGGCCACACCCCTGACAAGACAGCTCATTAGCACATTAGGCCACACCCCCATGTTACCAGAAGTGTGGTTATCCAGCCACACCCACCTTTTGCTTCTTATTCTGTTTACCTTGTTTGTTGTCAAAACCCAGGGCTTTTTTGTAGCGGGAACTCCTTTGCATGTTAGGCCACACACCCCTAATGTAGCCAATCCTAATGAGTTTCTGCTGTTGGGTGTGGCCTATTATGCTAATGAGTTCCTGCTGGGCGTGGCCAACTCAGGAGCCAGCCGGAACTCCGTTCCTGTGCGTTCCTGCTCAAAAATAGCCCTGGACTGTCCCTTTCCACCCCAAAGTACACCCTTGGTTGAACCAAAAAGGCAACATCAGCTGCTCACCTCAAAGACTTTAAGTGCCCGGGATGGCAACGAAGTCTTGGTTCCTTTGAGTGTGAATAGAAGATTCAACATGGCCATCCCATCTTTTTCTTCAAAGACAATGGTTTCCTTGGACTCAGCAGTCTCAGATGCAGCAGCAGCAGCTGCAGCAGCAGCAGCAGCAGCAGCAGCTTCTCTCTCCTTCCTGGCATCTTCAATGAGGCTCTGTCTTCTACCAATGAACTGTGGTGACTGGGACAAGCATAAGGGGGGGGAGAGAATAGCGTTCATCTACGAGAGTCAAGGAAACATCCTTCATCCTTTCCACTTTTACCATGTAAAAACTAAGGAGAGATTTGTGGGGAAAAGCAGCCCAGCCAGAGCAGGTTCTAGGGGGTCCCTCTCCTCCTCTCTGCTACCCACCACCGTGCCCCCCCATACCACCCTGCCCACCTGCTTGCATTCTCCTCCCCTTCCACCCACCCACCCGTGTATTCTTCTCCCACCCACTTGTGCATTTGCCCGCTCTCCTAGAGCTTCCTAACTGTATTGGGCAGTGTGTACAACTGGAAACACTGCTGCTCAGAGTGTTACTGACATTCACGCACACTGTTAGCACCCTCAGATGGGAGTATGGGGGATGCCAGGGCTCACAAGCAAGCAAATGGGCAGCAGGAGAAGTGAGTGAGTAGGCAGAGGTGGAAGAGGGCCCTTCCAGAAAACCTGGAGGTTATGCTCACCTCACCTCAGGGTATATTGATGCCAGTTTTGAGACCAACCCAATGACCGAAGATTTAAGAATCTTCTCAGTGTTGTAGTCCTCGCCAGTCTGTTTTTAAGAGTTTCTTCTTCTTTTTTGTCTTGCTTAATTTACTGAGTAATGTTTTCCTGCATACCCGAGTCCACTGAATAAACAGAGACCCCCTACTAGTCTAAGTGGTCCAATTGTGTGGCTTTCAGGGGTCATTTCGTGGAAAAAGAGCTAGGGGAACTCATTAGCATAACTCATTAGCATATGCCACACACCCTGACATCAGGGGCCCGGCGGTGGACCTGCAAGGCCGGTGGGAGTGCAAGGAAGCCCCGCCAAGGCCCTCCCTGGCCCCAGGCAGGCAGGGGTGGGGAGAGGCGGGGGGGGAGAGACTTACCCTCCCTCTTCTCCTGCCTCCTCCTGGCTGAATGAGGGCTGGAAGCGGGGTGGCCGGAAGCAGGGGGCGGGGCTTCATCATGTGCCCCGCCCCCCTGCACCTCACCCGGGGGAACTGTGTTCCCCCGCGATCCCCCCCGAAATGACCTCTGGTGGCTTTTATTATTCCTAGTACAGGAACCACGCGATGTACTATTAATATACTGAAAGTGCTTGGTGAAAAACTGAGCATTTCTTAGCAACTGGCTTTGATTACAAAACAATAAAAGGTTTAGCCTATGGTGCTTTAGGAACCAAAACTGTATAAAACGTAAATAAATAAATTGCAGGAGCAGGGATTATCTTTTGCATAAAGCAGAAAGGAAGCACTGGGTAGGTTTCAGCAGCTGCGCTACTAGAAGGGGGGGGGACGATGATAATATGTTCTGCTAGAACTGTAATTGGATGGTTTCTGAACAGAGTGGAAGTCAGCATATTAAAAATGTAGTAACAAATACTGCCTTAAGTGCATTAGACAATATGATATCCATCTATGTTCCTTAGAAATCTCTTTACTGAAATTCTGATATTTTAGACTGAGAGATTCTGGACATGTTCACTTAGAAGTAAATAACAACTGTGGAGTAATAGCATTAATAAGTATGTTATATTTCAGTGTTAGTAAATGTTTTAAATAAATAAACAACTATACCTAGGAGCAATATATCAGAGATAATTAATTGTCAAATGCATGTCCTTGAAGGATATTTTCTAAATGTGCATTTACCATTTTGCCTAGGTTAAACAAGGCATGATATGCTAAAATGTCATCCGCAAACATATTCAGCTGCTGACCCTACAACTATTCCACAGCTGGCTGCTCTTCAGGTGACACGATGACTGCTGATGCAATTGAACATGGGTATCAAGAAGATATGGAGCTGCCGTGGCTCAAGTGGTTAAGACGCTGAACTGCAGGCTGTGGAAGGTCGGTAGTTCAGCAGTTCAAGACCCAGGTTGCCACATGACGAAGTGAGCTCCTGTCTCTAGTTCCAGCTCCTGCCAACCTAGCAGTTCGAAAGCAAGAAATTGCAAGTAGATAAATAGGTACCACTTCGGTGGGAAGGTAACAGCGTTCCGTGCACCTTGGTGTTTAGTCATGCCGGCCACATGACCACGGCAACGTCTTCGGACAGCGCTGGCTCTTCGGCTTTGAAATGGAGATGAGCACCGCAACCCTAGAGTCGGCCTCAACTGGCTTTCGAGCAAGGGAGACCTTTACCTTTACTATCAAGAAGATGCATCTTATTTTGCTTTCTTCTCTTTGGAGGGCTGCCTGAAAATGTCTGTCATTTTATTAGTTAAGTTAGACTTTTTAAATTGTCTTTGTCACTCTGAAAGAGGCAAAATAGTCATTTCTTTCAGCTGCTTTCCAGTCATTTGGGGTTTTGAAAAACTCTGCCTGAAAATGTCTGTCATTTTATTAGTTAAGTTAGACTTTTTAAATTGTCTTTGCCACTCTGAAAGAGGCAAAATAGTCTGTGGTCTTTAAGAAGACCATATGACAAAGACATTGTTGTCTCAAAGTGTACACTCATTTCTTTCAGCTGGTTTCCAGTCATTTGGGGTTTTGAAAAACTCTAACATCTGCAGAACCTTTGGATATTGATGACAGGGAGATAAATGTATGCACGAAGAGCAACAAGAGCCATTTCATACTACCTTCAAAATTCTGGCTATTGCTACATGTGGTTATTTGCCCTGGGTTCAATGATGGAGGGGGTCCCTGCTTCCCCACAACTTTGCAGTCCATTTGTGCACCTCCTGGAGTTCTTCCGGTGAAGTTTTAGGTCTGGGAATGATCACAGCAAATCCCAGACGGCTGCCTTGTGGGTGGGAAAGTTTGGGTTTTCCCAGTCCTGCCCACGTGTCAGCCATTTTCCTGGCCCTAGTTCCACCCCTGTGGCCAGTCCCCACCATGCCACCAAATAGTGCTTTTTCAGTTCTTTACAACATCAGAAAACAAATACTGTTATATCAATATAACATTAAAACGATCTGTTTATCATTTTCTGTGAATTCCCAGTATCTAGCTTCTTTCATTACAGAGATAGGCCTTTCCCGTTGTATCTCCACAACACAAGGAGCTAAAGATATGAGCTGGAAATTTGCAGAAAATCATACACACATTGTTTTTGTTGTTGTTGTTCCGTCGCACAGTCGAGTTCGACTCTTCGCGACCCCATGGACCAGATCACGCCAGGCCTTCCTGTCTTCCGCCGTCCTCTGAAGTTTGCTCAATTTCATGTTCGTTGCATCGATGACACTGTCTAACCATCTCATCCTTTGCCGTCCCCGTCTTCTTTGACCTTCAATCTTTCCCAGCATCAGGGTCTTCTCCAGTGAGTGCTCCCTTCTCATTTGGTGGCCAAAGTATTTGAGCTTCAGTTTCATTATCTGGCCTTCCAGGGAACAGTCAGGGTTGATTTCTTTTAGGATTGACTGATCTGATCTTCTTGCAGTCCAAGGGACTCTCAAGAGTCTTCTCCAGCACCATACTTCAAAAGAATCTCTTCTTCGGCACTCGACGACAATTTAAATTGACAATTAACAATTGTCAATTTAAAAAACTCAAAAAGCCTGGGGTGGGGGGGTTGGCTGCTGTCAGGGGACTGGGGCAGGGAACTTGTGGGGAAATGAGCCATGTGGAAGCCTCATTGCTACTGTGCTATACCCAGCCATGGAAGCAATGGGAAAACTACACAAGCCCATGGAAAGCACCTCTGAATTAAGCTGTGATCTACCTCCAGCTCAAGTACCTGTGCCTCCTCTACTACTAACACGATGAGGTTTCTTTGTTGTGTTGACTGTCTTTGCTATTTATTATTTACAGTTTATCGTACAGTGTACTATAGAAATAGTAACTTTTGCCACACCATTAGGTGACTCATAATTAAATTAAAAATAACAACAGTGAGTTATGGTAAGTTTAGCTGGTTTCTATATTAATAGATTTTGAATTTAAATGTCAGTTTGACCTTGGAACTCAACCTTAGGAAATGAAACATCGAACTGTATGAAATGTATATTAATGTTCATGTAAAAATGTATTAAATTCTGTGGTAACTCAAATATTATTGACTACTGACTTTTCTGGCATTGCCAGCATTTAGATTCTGTCAAGTGTTGATGGCTACTGCATTATCCCCTTTGGATGACAAATGATGGTGCTGTATATCACCACACCAAGCATTTGTATATCCAGACGCTGGGTTGGATCCAGTGCAAAATTTCTGCTTGCACTAGTGCTCCTCTGCAAGCAGAAAAACTGAAGAAAAAGGCCATGGTAACCACTTGCCCGAAGTCAACCTTATTTTATCCTTACTTGCTTTCATGTTTGTGCATTATCTTGTGCAATCAGAATAGTGCTTAAGTCCCTTTTCCACTTGCACATAACTGCTGGTTCCAACCCAATATCTAGATACAAGTTTCCACTTGCACATCACTGCTGGTTCCAACCCAATATCTAGATAACATTCATCATCAAAATTCTCAGAGGAAGATTTTGAGGAGAACCTTTAAGAATAAAATAATGTCAGCCCGCAATTAAATAATTTGCATCCTTTCAGGCTGCCACTCCAGTGGATTTTGCAAACGAAATCACAGGCATTTCATTAATAGATGGTTAGAATGTATTTTGTTCTCATAAGTAGATGCCGCATGAAAAAAAATGTGTAAAACAGATTGAGCAAAAGTTTTAGGGGATTCCATCCTTATTGGCATTCTCTTTCAATTCTGTCATTTAAACAGAAAGCTTGGAAACCATAAAAATATTTTTTGCTGTTTAACTAAGATCATAGAAAGATACACAGAGATCTCAACATGAACATAAACACAGCATAAAGTGGGGTCTGTAGATTCTATGTCATAATATTTCGAATTCTGCTGCACGGTGTTTTTATTTACATCATTTATAATCCACCTTTCTTGTTGAGACTCAAGGGAGATTATGAAGCATGAGTCAATCTAAATTAACAGGGATGGGACTTCCAATAAACAACACAATGGACCACGCATGCGGTCGCCTTTTCACGTGGCCATGCGAACTAGCAGAGACAACAGAAGT